ACACTGCATCCTTTGAAAACACTGTAGCTGTAAGTCCTAGTTTCAGGAATGAGACCTCGCTAGTCATTGGCCTGGTTACTGGGGAGTTCTGGGACGTTTACGAACATTCCAGTCGCCCAGTGTTTGAAAAGGAAATGGTGAGCCGGTTGGCCCTGGGAACCCAAGGCGGAGCTGTTGGTAGAAAGAAGTTCCGATGAGAGAAAGGGCGCTTTCCCAGGTGTGGCCAGAAGTGTGACTAGTGTTTCTGTAAGACAGAAACTCCGTCAAGGGTTGTGCTCCCCCAATTTGAGAAAGCACACGGCAGTCTTGTAGAGGAGAATCAGATCTTGTACTTTATTGATCAACAAAGGAGGGAGGTGCAGATCCAATAAGGTTTTGGACCCCACAGCTCTCCCTAAGGTTACAATGGGAGACATAGGGTTTTATACCCCCTATCACAGTTAGAAATAAATCAAAATTATTGGTTCCATCAAACTTTGTCACATATCCATCACACCATTCTGATTGGGCAAAAATATACCTTCTTCAGTTGAACAATAGGCTTTCTTCTTCCTAGGCTGTGAAATTCTAAAAAGTATCTAATTGTAACAAATATTAGTACATCATGCAGTGTTCTCCATCTAATGCAAGCAAACTGACATCAGAAGCATGCGCAGTTACAACTGGCCAGAACAAGCAAGGTCAGTCAGTTACTGCCTGTCAGCATTTGGTGTTTTACCCAGAATGCCTTTAAGCAATGAACCAGAGTGAATATCTGAATATATGTCCACGGTTGATTTCAGTTACTGTGATTAGAATCATCAAAGGCACTTAACATATGCACCATGGAAGCGTTAAGAGCACCTACTAAGGTAAACTGACTGTTAGCCAGTGACAGAGTACTGGTTCCATAAGCAGTGTGTACAACACTTCTGAGAGAAGTGGTACATGAATGGAGTGCGCAGCTAGTGTGAGCAGTGGCTCAGTGGCAGAGCATCTCCTTTGCACGCAGAAAGTCCCCTTTGAACTCCTGCGCAAAGCATCAGGATGGAAGTGCTGGAGACTTCGTGCCAGGCTGGGTAGACGATCATGACCTTAATTAATTGAGGGTCTGACTCAGTACAAGGCAGCTTCATCAAACACAAACACAAACCACCTCTGTGAACGTTTGAGTGTTTCTGCTTACATTTGCCAGTTACTATTTCCTGAATTACTGGGTTTTTAAAAAATGCTAAGTACTTTTCTTCACCACGTTGCATCCGTGTCATTCAGCTCCATCTGGGGAGAAAGCGGCAACTCTTCCCTTCGCCTTGGATAGTGATCCTGAAGCTAGTCTCCTCTGCGGACAGCGCACTAGCCTTCTCCCTCAAACACTGCACCAAACTACCTCTTATTCTGCAGCCTATACGTCATGCAAATTAACTATCATATCCGCCATCTCTTCCTCCCTATTACCAAAAAACAAACAAACCCCAAACCCTAAGTAAAATCAGGGCACCATTGCCACGAATAGCCAACGTGTGCACTGATTGTGGGCTGAAGATTACTGCATTAGTGCATAGAAGAACATCTGAATTGTTCAGTGCATCTGAAAGTGCGTAGAAGAACATCTGATTGAATGCTGACCTTGTGCTAAGGACATCTGGGTTCAGACCCTAGAAGACTCACTGAAAAACCTCAAGAACTCCCTAGCTGTCAGCCAGATCGGCCTCTTAGCGTTTACGTAGGTTGTTAGCCTCGTGTACATTTCCATCAGCTTCTTGGTTACAGATCGTCTTATCTCCAGACATGCAGGCCTTTGTGGTGCAGCCGTTGGACCAGGAGAGGGGTCCCCCCCCCACCTTTTTGAGTCTGTGGGCATCTTTGGCATTCCGGCACAAGGTGGTGGGCGGAAACGGAGCCATCCAGAGCTCTTAGCGGCAGCTCTTCAGCATTTGGGGTGGGAGCTGTTGAGCAGCCTGCCTTTTGAAGTGGACTTGTTTAAAAATGCTTTTTATGTACAACTTCAGGCGGGCAGGGAAGAGTCCCCCCCCACCCTTGGGGGTGGTGGGAGCTTCTGCTCCTGCACAGCTGGTCAGGTCTCCAGTGGCCAACCAGAAGCCCTCCTGCTGGGGGGGAAAGCCCCACCCACTTCCTAAAACGTTTGCCAGGTCCCAGGAAAGGGGCAGGCGGGTGCCCTGGGTACCCACGGGCCCCAGGTTGGGTATCCCTGGACAAGGTCCTAACAAGGGAGACCTGGGTACAGATCAATGCTCCTTCTAAGCTGTAAGGTCTTTTGAGCAGAAATTCTACTTTGTGAGCTCCTGGCATTAGAGTTGTGAGCGAGCAGTTTGGACATTACATAAATTAGTTTCCTCTGGAGCCATCCGTCCCGAGCTAAGGCAAAAGATGTGTGAGCCGGAGGCTAGAAAACTGTGTGCTGGCTCACACTAGCTCAGCTTAGAGGCAACAGTGGTACAGACGTGCACTACCCCGTGCAGCTCTCCCGGAGGCCTTGGGCCAGGCATTTCCCCCGCTCCGTCTCACAGGATGGCCACCTAGATGAAGTGTAGAGCCAGGGAGCCCGTGGAAGTTGGAAAGGTGTTTTGGCAAGGTGACGAATTCTTCACGCAGTGGTGGTGCTCCCGTGGTGATTTTGTCTGGCCATCTGCTTGTTACAGGTTCAGAGGCCTGGGCCCAACAGTGATTGTATGTCCGGCCACTGTGATGCATCAGTGGGTGAAAGAGTTCCATACTTGGTGGCCTCCGTTCCGAGTGGCAATTCTTCACGAGACGGGCTCTTATGCCAACAAAAAGGTACCTTACACATCCAGACCTTCAAGCTTTGTGCTTTTATCAAAGAATGCTTTATTAAATGTAGCTCTTATGAGAGTTTCATCACCAATATAGGGATTTTGTAGTGGTTAAGAGTGGAGGACTCTTTAACTTGGAGAACCGGGTTTGATTTCCCCACTGCTCCTCCACATGAAGCCTTCTGGGTAACCTTGGCCCAGTTGCTGTTCTCAGAACTCTCTCAACCCTACGTTTCTCACAAGGTGCCTGTTGTGGGGAGAGGAAGGGAATGCGATTGCAAGCCACTTTGAGACTCCTTAGGGTGGGGTATAAAAACCAGCTTGTCTTCTTCAGTATTAAACAATACTTTATCTCTAGGTGATGTCACAGAATCACTTTTTCTGTAAAACTACAGCCTTCTGATTGGACAATAGGTAAAGGTAAAGGTTCCCTTGCTCGAAAGCCAGTCGAGTCCGACTCTAGGGTTGCGGTGCTCATCTCCGTTTCCAAGCCGAAGAGCCAGCGCTGTCCGAAGACGTTTCCGTGGTCATGTGGCCGGCATGACTAAACACCAAGGTGCACGGAACGCTGTTTCCTTCCCATTGAAGTGGTCCCTATTTATCTACTTGCAATTTCTTGCTTTCGAACTCTTGTGATAAAGCATCTGCTTTATCACAGGAGTATTTTTAACATTCTTTGTCGTCTCTTCACATTTAACCAGTCACGCGGCAGGGAGTTGTGGACATTCAGCACCACTAAAATCTAGCTGCCTAGACCCTCTGTGGCTTTGAAACCCCTCTCTCCCTGCGCAGTTAAAGACAAACACAGCTTGCAGTGTTTAATATCCTTCTTTCCACTGAAGCAGCCTGCTTTCCTTTGTGTTCTGGATGGCCTCCTCATGTGCCTTCTGGCTAGCAGAGTCCCGCCTTTCCGTTCTTACGGGCGACATGATTCCAGATAGACAAGGAGTTAGAATAATGTCTTCCTCCCTGGCTGTAAGAGTCCTGGGTATCGGTCCTGTGCAGTGGTTTCACACACACACCCTTCCTCTCTCAGCTCCCACCCCTACCCCGGCTTCCAAAACGCTGGTGCTGCACTTATGGGCAGGAGCCCCATAGGCTTGGGGGGGGGGAGCTGAAGTGAGGACTGGGACAAGAACAATACAGCCCTTCCCTCCTGCCACCAGAAACCTCACTGGAACAACGGCAGTGCCAGCCGGCCCGGTTGCCCCCGCCTCAGAGCAGCCCCCAAGACCCCATAGATCGTTGTCCATAGGAGTCCCGCAACTTCCAGCATCAGTACTTTGGAGGTCTCGGTGGCTCTCGAGTGGGGAGGGGAGGAGAGGAAAGAAAACCTTTATGCGCATATTCTGTATTTAGTTTTATTTGGAGAATTAATACGGCACTTCTCCAGAGTCCTGCTTCGGGCAGATCACAAAGGTTTTTTTTTTAAAAAAAAAAATTAAATAAAAAAAAATAGCAAGTATAATGAATATTAAATACAAGCCAGGGACACAGAACAGGATAAAATGACATTAAGCAGTCAAAAATGATATCTGTAAAACAGTCCTCGGACTGGAAGCAGACCATGAAAACAGCTCATTGGAAAAAGATGGCGCTCCTCGATTCAGAGCTTGGAGAAAGAGAAATGTTTTGACCTGGCACCTGCAAGGATGGTTAGTTAGGTGCCAGGTGGGTTGAAAGGCCCAGGTGCCACCCCTGAAGAGGCTCAGCCACCTGTCTTTACCCTCCACAGGCTGGGGGCCAGAGAGAAGCCAGTATGGTTGCCTCATTATTGCTGATTGTAGCAGCCTGATTCCTTCTGCAACGTAACATCTAAATCTTGCGAGCATTCCACTGAGATAATTTTCAGAACAAGGTGAGAGAGCTGTTCAGCTGTTACCAGAGTGAAATGATTTTTCACAGTGCATCAAAATAGCCCTTTAAATAATTATATCATTGCAATAGTCAACTGCTCCTGCCAACCTAGCAGTTCGAAAGCAAGAAATTGCAAGTAGATAAATAGGTACCGCTTCGGTGGGAAGGGAACAGTATTCCGTGCGCCTCGGTGTTTAGTCATGCCGGCCACATGACCACGGAAACGTCTTCGGACAGCGCTGGCTCTTCGGCTTGGAAATGGAGATGAGCACCGCAACCCTAGAGTCGGATTCGACTGGCTTTCGAGAAAGGGAAACCTTTACCTTTAATAGTCAACTGGAATGAAGCGTAATACCAGATTAAGCAGATTGTGAATACTCAATATTGTGATAATGTACACTTTTAAAATGGCCTTTACACTTCTGAAATCAGGTGGTGTCGTTTTTTTAAGATGCTCACTCTTCCTTCAAGAAGCTTGGGGTGACGCCCATCCATTTTATGACCCTACTAGCCCTTTTGAGGTTGGGTTGAGGAGCTGTGATCGGTCCAGGCTGTGGCCTCGTAGGACTGAATGGGGAGACCCAGTCCTAGTACATCACTCTAATCACCGTACCACTTTGTGTCCCATGATGGGTCGTTATATGGGTTTGAAGCAGTAGGGGGAGATCACATGCATAGTCTCATGAAGTTCAGGTAACCTGGACTCCCCACCTACCAGGAACTTGTTCAGAAGCACTGAAATAAGTAAGCCTGGTATGCTGCAAAGTTCTCATCCAGAATGTCCACTGATGTGTGTTTCTGGACGTTACAAATGGTCATATAACTTGATTTACTTGTGCATCGTCAACCCCATGTCGCATGATGCTTGTTTTTTCCTTCTTAGTAAACTTTTTTTTAACACTTATGCAGAACCTAGATTAGGGCATGGAAGGGATACGTTAACCTTGCTAGTCATCAGCAAGTGACAAAACGATAGTCTGTTTATCCAAAGTAAAAATTGTCCAGCTTGCAAAGGGTGCTTTTTTAATAATTCTTTTGGGCTAGAAGCGTGGAAAGTAGAGATTCTCAGACTATTCGTGAGAAACCTCTGGGCTCCCCAGCATGCCTTGCAGTAAATGGAAAGAAGCCATGGAGCGTTTATAAATTCCTACCAGTTCACGCACTCATGAGTATTCTACAGTTGCACCCCAAGCAAAAAACTGCTGTTGATGATGAGCATAATTCTAGTTTTCTTTTTTCCCCCTAATCATCTTTATTAATTTTAAATTAATGTACAATACAGCGTAATACAGTGCATCCATCTACAAGAATGTCATCTAAATGGAAAAAGTTGAAACCTGATGATTATAAGGGAACGTCCCATAAAATTGAGCTACCCAGCAAAGTGGGAGGAGGAGCTAGGGGTGCACTGGCAAGAGACAGACTGGGAAAATATCTGGGGTTCGCCAGCAAATAGCTCTAAGACATACAATATAAAATTACAGTTCTTCAAGACCATTTCGAGATGGTACCTAACCCCACAGCAAACACACAAATTTAGCAGATCCAACAGCCCTATGTGCTGAAAGAAATGTGGACAAGAAGGGACTTACCTGGATTGCTGGTGGTCCTGCCCCAAGATCCAACAGTTTTGGACGGATGTGAAACATCAAATTGAGAATATCACAACTCAAAATCTCTCTCTCTTGCATAATTCTAGTTTTCTAGTAGTGCTGGCGTGTGCTGGCTGCATCTCTGAACTTGGAGCTCTTCCAGTTGGTAGGAACTTTTGTCTTCCCCAAAGATAAGGCGGCCCTTCCTCCTGACCCAGCCTCTATTCCAGGCATTCATTTCTCAGGGAGAATGCTTGACTCGTTTTAAATGTGGCCTTGGAGGTGAGTCTTACAGACCCTGTGGACCGCCAGAAAGACACATCAGTGGGCTCTAGATCGAATCAAGCCTGGACTCTCCCTAGAAGCTTCAGTGACTAAACAGAGTCACTGGAAAAGACAGTCATGCTAGGAAAAGTTGACGGCAGTAGGAAAAGAGGCAGAGCCAACATGAGATGGATGGACTCCATCAAGGAAGGTGGTTGATTGCACATTTTGGAGGCCATTAATTCGTAAGGTCACTGTAAGATGGAAGCAGCTTGACAGCACATGATACACACACAGGGGAAGCCGATCCTGTTCTTCTAACCAGGGTGGAGCAGGGTAGCTAGGGGTGTGCAAAAAAATGTCATTTTTCGGGATTGGGTATATTGAGCCTGAAAATTATCAGTATTTCTCAATATTTCCAAATCCCAACACTGGTATGGTATTCGGATTCGGGAAATATTCAGAAAACCTGAATTTTTTCAGTTCCATGATACCCTGTGGGGACCATTATAGTCAATGGCTCCCATCAGGTACAATGGAGAATCGATCCAGGAGTATCTGGGGGGGGGGCTGTTTTTGAGGTAGAGGTATCAAATTTGGAGCATAGCTACTAACCCCCCCCCAAGTTTAAAAAAGATTGGACAGGGGGTCCAGTTCTATGGGCCCCCAAAGAAGGTACCCACATCCTCCATTGATTTCAGTGGAGGGGGGAAAAAGGCATTTAAAGGGATCACGATCCCTTTAAATGCCTTCTCCAGGCTGCATGACTCCATGGCTTGGAGAACTCTGAAGGCTTTTAAAGGGCTCACAGGCCCTTTAAATGCCTTCCGGGTATACTCACTGTGGCTATAAAGGGGTAGCCGTAAGTCATCTTGTGACTTATCTGGAAATTGCAACTGGTCCAGAATGCAGCTGTGCAGGTTCTGACAGGAACATCCTTTGGAAGCACCTATTCAACTGGTGCTGGAGAACTATGGTGCTGGAGAAGACTCTTGAGAGTCCCTTGGACTCCAAGAAGATCAAATCAGTCAATCCTAAAGGAAATCAACCTTGACTGTTCCCTGGAAGGCCAGAGACTGAAGCTGAAGCTCAAATACTTTGGCCACCCAATGAGAAGGGAGCACTCACTGGAGAAGAAGTCCCTGATGCTGGGAAAGATTGAAGGTCAAAGAAGACGGGGACGGCAAAGGATAAGATGGTTAGACAGTGTCATGGATGCAACGAACATGAAATTGAGCCAACTTCAGAGGATGGCGGAAGACCGGAAGGCCTGGCGTGATCTGGTCCATGG